GAATGCCAAAGAGGAAAAAACATAAAAATTCAAATTGTGTTTTGTGAAGATGATCAAACGCCGATTCTTGAGTAGTCTTAAATAAATGCTTCTGGCAGCTGGGAAAACGCAATTACCAACATTACTAAAAGTCAGTTTGGGTACCTCATTTTAGTGATATTATTTTTATGCTCCCAAATGCCGGGTGCAGCTATGCTAGGCCCTTCGATCCTAAGGCTGCATGCCTTCATTATCACCCATCGCCTGTTCGATATAAGCACGCAATTTCCATGAAAGCCATCTGAGTGGTCGCTTATATTTCTAGGAGCACTATACGAAAATATCAATCTTTCATCAAAACAAATGAGAGTCAGGGTCAAATTCTTGCGAGGCATGGTGAGGCAGGGTCAAATCCTTGCCCTTCACAGCATGGCAGATCCTTCACTTTGTCACCACTGCATCAATGCCAATCTGATTTTTATATCTTCAAATTCAAGAGAAATAATCTTAAAACAATATAAGCCACTTAGTGAAATCATCGAAACACCTCCACTTACCAGCACAACCACCTTTTCAAATTTCCGAAGAACGGCAAGTGGCACGGTCCGAATTTGGCTTGTTTCTGCATAATTGATATCTCCTCCTACTCTTCCGTGTTCATTGGTCTTCGAACGGTACGAGTATTTCTTGGTCTCATTTTGTGCCTACCTTGTTACTAACTTCCAAAAGTCTTTAATGCCGTTTTGGCTAAATTTCAAAAATTGTTACATTTAAAGATTTGGTGCAGTTTTTGGACCCGGCATAATATTGCCTAACTTCACCTGTCACGTTTGTAACACTTTGAATGAAGATCCCTATTGAACAACCCGTAATTCATTCATTCGTTTTAATGGTAAATTGGTACTGGCGTATACCAGGGAGTCAAATACGCTATATGCGCTTCTTTGAGAATGCTTGCATCTCTAATACAGAGCGAGTGCGGAGGAGGTGATAACCTTTGAACTAAAACACCGTGTCTCCTCCTCAGCAGCAGTGTGCCAGACACTACGACAGGTCAGCTCCTAGGGGTGCGAGGTTCTCACATGTGGGCACATGAAAGTTGTGGCGGGAAAATTGCTAACTCGGCAACCAGAAAAAATGGACGGCTGAAATTTTAAGGGGATTTCAAAGAACAGTTATTTAAACGGAAATTGTGCATTTTCCTTTCTGTAAAATTTGCGATGACTTAAGTTAGTAAGCGCACAAGATAGGAGTAAAGCAACAACCATTCGTGCAGTTAACGACCTGATTACTTCAAGTTTGGTGTAAAAACGCATGATCGCACCGGCAAGGCTGGTTGGTTTCAGCCTGGGTTTTTATGTAAGCCCTTCTCTTCATCTTTGAGACCCTACCAACATTCACGTGCACCAGCGTTTACTAACTGCGTGCATTAGTGTGAGCAGCGGCTACAACGAGCAGCAGTAACAGAAGCAGCAACAGCAACGAAAGCACCACGGTAGTCGAGCGCATTCAATTAAGAGGGAAGCAAATTTCACAAATCAGAAATTAAAATTCCATATGACAGCTGCAAATTGAGAGACTAATAACTTTCCAAATTATTAAAA